AACGAACTATACAAATAATAGGGCCGTAGCATTTGCGTAATATAAAATCGCGATCGATCGTCGAAAAGCGAATTCGATTGCAACTGGCTCAAAACAATAATTTTAGTAGTATACATATACGGTGTACTGTTACTAATTATATAATATATATACTAATATATAGTATACAATAGTAGTATACAATAGTATCTAATATGTACTAATATATATTATAGTATATACTACTATATATATATATATATATATATATATATATATATTGGGTTGGCAACTAAGTAATTGCCGATTTCAGTTATAGATGTCTCTCACTCCCATTTTTATGATATCCGTAAATATTATATTATAAAATTATTATTATTATTATTATGTTATTTTTTATTATCCGTGAATGTTAGCAACTGGACAAATTGAATGCAGCGGTCAAGGAAAAGCGACCAGAATTGGTCAATCGTAAAGGTGTCATTTTCCACCAGGACAATGCTGGGCCGCACACGTCTTTGTCCGCTCGGCAAAAATTGATGGATATTGGTTGGGAATTGATGTTACACCCACCATATAGTCCTGATCTCGCGCCATCGGATTACCACTTATTTCGATTCCTGGACAACTCCCTTCGTGGTAAAACTTTTAATGATGATGACGCTGTAAAATCTCACTTAACTCAGTTTTTGGTCGAAAAGGATCAGACTTTCTACGAGCGTGGGATTTTCAAGTTGTCAGAGAGATGGCAAAAGGTCATCGAACAAAATGGAAAGTACATTACAGATTAAACTTCATTCCAAGTAAAACAAAATTTTTTATTTCATTGAACAAATCGGCAATTATTTAGTTGCCAACCCAATATATTATATACTAATTGTTTCAACGGTTGATTCTACGCATGAACGGAATAAAAACTATTTCTGTAAATATATGCGGTACACGATCTCGTTTTGAAATTATCTTTCATTCGAAGTTCAAAATTACCTCCTTGTATTTAAACGCAAATCTGCGACCATTTCATCAATTACAGGCTCACCCTCTTGACTTATCGAAGTACAATAAATTTTTTGTTCGGAACGATAGACTGAACCGACAAGTGTATTCAAAATTATATGATTCCGTTTGAAAAAAGAAACAAAATTGACCCTCATTGGTTCTGTACGCGTCCACTTATAGAAAAATGAATTATGTCATCTTGTAGCCCCCTCGAAACCATGTAATTTGTGTGGAAAACGTTTTTTACACAGTGTGTAATTAACGAGTTATTTTCATTTATAGATTAAAATCGGACATACTAAATAATAATATTCATCGTAGAACAATTGTATAAAGATAAACATATTTCAAAGATACTATAATAGAGTGTGCAATTATGAATAACTTCTAAAGTTATAGAAGTCTGCATTCCAGTTGTCAATGAATGTTTGTAAATTAGATTTTGCTACAGTTTTTCAATTAACGTTTATGGATTAGATTTTGCTAGCAAATTTCATTGTGTAACAGTACTTTGTGATTTTTTCTACATTACAAAACACTATCTGAAATTAGAAATTGTATTAGAAATTCAAGTGGAAATTACTACAGTAAATTCTGTCCCCAATTCGCGCTCAAATTGTGCACAAAAATGGACAATTTGGGAAGAAGTGATACGATTATTCGAACCTTGCGGCTCGTTTCTATAGTTATCAATTTCAATAACTATAAAAACTAGCCGCAAGGCTCGAATAATCGCACCCCTTCTTCCCAAATTGTCCATTTTTGTTTCCGAGCTGAGCGTCAATTACTGAGAATTTACTGCACTGTTTGCATTTTACGGGAACCTCGTTTAGTTTTCACGCTGTATAAAATATTATATAAACAGAAGTGGATACAAGAAATGGGAATCAAATATACGTATTTACATCAAATTACGATATAATCATTTACCTGTACGATAGAACTATAGTTCAATACAGCCATACTGTAGGAAAAATATAACAATTAGTAAGTATTACTTATACCTTATGTTGTACGAACAAAATATTGCATCAACGACGCGTGAAAACAAAATTGATATGCATCACACAGAAGCGTATCGAGTGATAGATTTTTCAGGATGTGGGGGTGATATTAGGACACGTTCCGAAAAAGTAGCGATTTTTGGAAGTACCATTTCGTAATAACAATGCTCACCGTCATTCTCTCCTGATTGCTATTACCCCACTCTCCCCTACTCGTAGCATTCTTCAGGCTAAAGCATTGTGCAGAAGATTTAAGGATTGATAATGCTAGAGCGATGTCATACATGGTAGGGAAGGTAGAGGGGGAAACTGTGATTTTAGAATACGATTATACATGAATTATTGTATTTACAACGACAATTTTTGTGCGAACCTCTTACCTACTTGTCTGAGATTATTCAGTTGCAGCGGTTTTGTTATCCATCGAGGAATATCGAAGTTATTAATCAAATATGGAAAGCGGGTAAAACCGACCTCGATCCCGGGTCGGTTGTAACACAGCATAGCATTCTTTGAGTGCCCAGTCATTACAGCCACAACATTGGACCCATTTTTCATTAAATTTGCCTTTGCTATAAGTTTCCTAGCCATCTTCATATACTTTTATATCCATGGTACCTTTATTAGTATTTCTAATTTCTATACCAGTCTAATTATGTAAAGTTTAATTATAATATTAAATTATAGCAATTTCAAATTTATTAGTTAACCTAATAAATATAGATACTTATTTCAATTATAAGATGAAGAAAATCAGGCGTAGAAATCTCTTACAATCGGCCCCAACTGTCGGTATTACAATTGTCCCCGACCGCACTTTGAAACTTCAATTATGAATTGTTATTTACAACATGCTTATTATTGCAAAGTAACGGTCGATATTTCTTCAGGACATATGAAATTAGAGATTTAAAACAAGGAAGAAGAATATATTTGCTAGAAAAGCACTTATATCATAATTTTAAAGCAAGAAGGAAAGTTAGCTTTTTGGTAGCGAAAAGTTATTTTCTTCCTTATGCAGACGTATATTTCGTATTTATTCAAGCATGATAGATGAGTGTGTTCCAAATGTCATTTTACATTATATATAATATATATATATATATATATATATATATATATATATATATATATATATAATGTAAAATGACATTTGAAACACGCTCATCTATCATATTCAGATAAATGCAAAATATACATCTGCATATGGAAGAAANCTATATAATAATATCTATCATATATTTTCAGATATTTAACGCGTTACAACGGCCCCCGTGTTACTGTCATCGGCCTCCCCTACGTTTTAAAAGACTTTCGAAATTGGCTAAGGAAATTTGAAAATAACGTTAGTTTCGGGAGACTTGGATTGTTGCTTTTTACTTTAGCTGAAAGGGAAATTTGTTTTCGGGCATAATTAACTTTACATTTATCATATAATACTTAAGTAAGTTCTTTTATTCTTTTCTTCTGTTTATTTTTGAATAATAAAATTTCATACGTCTTATGCGATAAATATAATGTTTTATTCTTTTATTTCGTTTATTTTTTAACAAAAAATGTAACATGTCTTATTCGATAAATATAAAATTAGTTATGCCCGAAATTATTATTAATTATCCCCAATTAGTTATCCCCAAATCAAGGGTCCAGTCACTCACGGCACGGTAACCGGCTCCACTATCCTGGATAGGTTAAATATGTATTAGAAAATAATGAAATAATCGTAGATAGGTTCACGGTGTACAGTACGAGAAACATAGTTACGTTATATTTGCTGCAAGAAGAAACGTGGTGAACATAGACCTACATATGCATATACAGGGTGTCCCAAAAATGTCTCGCAATCAAAAGTAAGAGATTCCTGAGGTTATTTGAAGCAACTTTTTTCTTAGCGAAAATGCAATCCGCGGCTTCGTTTACGAGTTTATAACGAAATACAGTGACCAATCAGAGGCGAGATCATTTGGTGCGAGACGGCCGAGCCAATGAGCGGAACTGGGCTCCGTGCACTCGTTGGCTGGGCCGCCGCGCGCCAGCCAAGCTCGCCCCTTATTGATCAGTGTTTTTCGTTAATAACTCGTAAACGAAGCCTCAGAGAAAATTTTCGTAAAGGAAAATGTTGCTTCAAATGACCTCAGAAACCTCCCATTTCCGGATTGCGAGACATTTTCGGGACACCCTGTAGATATAAATACTATAATCTAAAAGTTGAAAAACATTCGCAAATTTTTATGATCTAAAATTATGGGAGATCAATAAGTCGTTTGCACATTTTATTCTAAGAAGTAAAGTTATAAAATAAATTAGGCGTACCATAAAGTCTTTAACATCTACCATTGATCTCGGGGAAGACGCGCGGGATACAATTGAATAATTAACCCCTTGCGCTATAACAACGAGTCAGACTCGTGATGAAGATTTTATCCGCAATCCACTAAATACGAATATTATTAATTTCTTCTAAATGGAAACTCTTTCTTTCTAAATGGAAATTCTTCTGTTATCAAAGTATAGGAATGAAATTAAATATAGGCATAAGAAACAAGAATTGTCTCGTTCTATTAAGGTAATTGTTAAGAACGGAGAAATGCTAATCAACGTAGCTGTGAAAGAAATCATAGTGCGAATTTACCTGCAAGTGAGGTTCCTCTTCGAAAGAGAAAATTTTGGGTTTTTACAAAAGTTCGTTTATTTAAAAAACTGAGGGTGATGGAGCAATTTGGTTTTCGGATTCTTGTTCAGGGAGTGAAGCTCTACAAGAATTTCATAGTGGCTATAGGAACCCAGAAAAAAAGTTTGATTTTGTCAGACAGTGTATCCGGCGATTGAGGCAGTGTAGGAAGTTGTTTTGGTACATTGTACAATAACCATTCCCTTGTTTTCCTTGCCGTGTGCTTCGGCGTTGGAATTGAAACGATTCGTTTATGCCCATTTTTGTTGCACTCGTTAACAAATTATTTCCCAACACATCGATATAAACGCTTGCATTCATTGTACCGTCAATAAAAGCTAAATTACCTACTCCATGGTATGTGACATACAGCCCCATACCATGACATGACCACTACCATGTTTTACTGTAGGAATAATATTCTTTTGATTTAATTCGGTGTTCGGTTTCCTCCACACAAATCTTTTTCCATCAGAGCCGAAAAGATTAAACTTGCTCTCATCTGAGAAAATAACCGTCTTCCAAAATTCCATTGTCTTACTTGCATATATTTTTGCATACCCGAGCCGTTTCTCTCTATTCTTTTCATTAACGAACGGTTTTTTTCTCGCTGCTCTACCATAAATTTCCGCAGAATGTAAAACATTTCGAACTGTTTGGGCATTGACTTCTGTTCCCGAATATGTTGCGATGTCAACAGCTAAGCTTTTGGCACTTACAAAAGGATTTTTTATTGCTTCTTTGATGATACCTCTTCGTTCTCTAGTAGTAAGTACTTTCGGACGACTTTTTTGACTCACTGTACGTGCAAAACTGGCCCGCCATACCCGTCTTTAACATTAAAATCGACTTTCTTTTCAGTTGTCAGAAATTTAACCATCTTTAAGTTACTAGAAATAGCAGCCGCGTGCAAAATTATCGCGCCACTCACGGTTTTAGTATTAAAATCGGCTTTTTTCATTTATCAGAAATTTAACCATCTTTAAGTTACCAGGAACAGCAGCCACGTGCGAAATTGGACTGCCAGCATTATCTTCGGCATCAACATTGGCACCTTTATCTATCAGATATTTAACAATTTCTAAATTATCAGAATTCGTAACTGCGTGCAAAACTGTGCTGCCAAAATTGTCTTTAGCATTAAAATCAGCTTTCTTTCATTTAACAGAAATTTAATCATCTTTAAGTTACCAGGAACAGCAGCTACGTGCAAAATTGTTTCGCCATTCACATCTTTAGCATTCAAATTGGCCTTTTTTTCATTTATCAGAAATTTTACCATGTCCAAGTTACCAGTGTTAGCAGCCGTGTGCAAAATTATCTTGACAAACGTGTCTTTAGAATCAACAATGCTACTTGAATTATCTGAATTATTTAATACAAAACGGGCAATTCCTGTATTATATTCCTTGGCTGCCACAAATAAAACTTCTTTATCATAACACTCTGCTTGCAAATGTATATTTGCTATGTTCTCTTTTAGGAGTTTGTTGTTTAGAAATATATAACTTGATATATATTGTTTATGAATATATAACTTGATAATCTTGATAGCAGCAAAATAGTCTTTAAATATTGAATGTATAAACTTAATATTGCTATCATCAGATCAAATAATCTCAGCTGATAGCACTATATCTCTAAATTTTACTAAAGATTGTTTGGGTGCTGATTTAAGAATAGAAGATTTAGTTAGAGCTTTATGATAATCATCAAATATTACTTTGTCTCTTGCTCCTGTATTAGTTATTCTTCAACTTTTGCTTTATTAAAATAAATATTATACTTTCCATGAACAAAATTTTTATACGCTTCCCATATGTCATTGCCTAGATAACTAAAGTGTGGTATTTGACCATTAACATCTTGCGTTCATTCCTTAAAATATCTCCTAGAGCCTTCTAACATTAAATAGAACTGTAATGGTGTTCCAATGAGCTTAGATGCATCGTCTTTAAATATTTCGTGCATTTTACTTAAAAATACCTCGGTGTATCCTTGCATTCTCGTATTTTCTATTATTTCATCACTATTGCTAAAAATACTTTGAAACTCCTCGTGACTTAAAATGATACTTAGATAATTCTTTAAGTATTTTTTAATGTATTACCGTATTCTCTAAAATCTTCTGATAATGGAGACGAGTAGTAATCTAAAATTTAGCTTTAGTTTTACCTTTTAAATGTTCCAGTAATGAGATAACTTTATCTCTATCCGATTGATCTAAAAGTTCATCAAATCCATCGAGTGCTATTAATAAAGGCTTCCCAAAATCCTGCTTTATTAGCGCCATATGGAAATGGCGGGTTCCTCAGATCATTTGAAGCAACTTCTTCCTTTACAAAAATTTTCTCCGAGGCGCCGTTAACGAGTTATTAACGGAAAACAGTGATCAATAAGAATCGAGTACGGCTGACGCGAGGCGGCCCAGCCAACCAGCGCACGAAGCCAAGTTCCGCTCATTGGATCGGTCGCCTCGCGCCAGCCGAGCTCGCCTCTCATTGGTCACTGTTTTTCGTTAATAACCCGTTAACGGTGCCTCGGAGAAAATTTTTGTAAAGAAAAAAGTTGCTTCAAATGACCTTAGGAACCCGTCACTTTCGGATTCCGAGACATTTTTGGGACACCCTGTATATATGCGACTGCATACACTATGCAAAGTATAAAGAAATGAACTGTCCGCGTTTGATTCTGAGACGTATATGCGTAGTGAATACCTGCATTACAAAGTACAGTAATTTCTGCCGAAAATGCCAAATTTCGAGTTGTATATTTTCCTGTGCTAGTCCTACGTCTATGTAATTTATTACTACGTCAATGATAAGTATCAACAAAATCGGTTAAGCATATAATACAAAATGGTCCGTTGGGTGTGAGTCAGATAAGAAAAACCGCGGAGCTACAAGATACGTGATGTAGCCTCCGAATTGCCTGGCAAGAAATCGTGGCAAGAAATTAGAAATAAAAAAATTAAATCATCGTTTTTATTCTAGCATCACTATGTATTGATATTAATGTACACCAGCATGCTGGCCGCTGTTTTTTTTTTTCCAACTGTTCCAAGTTTTTATAAATACGATCCGCAAGGCTTGAAGAATCGCGGCTTAATATTCTCAGATCTACCGTTAGTGCTCTATGAACTGACTAACGCACTGTCTAACGAACTTCCTCGAGAACTTTCGAGGCTACGTATTATGTATTTCGTGATGGCAACTGGTGGCTACCAAATTCTCTAGAGAAGTGCGCTGGGGGAATGGCTCGGTGGCGCCATCGACTCTACACATAATAAAATTTATTCCATAGTAATATATCGTGATGCAGTCTGCACTACCTACACGCAGCGACAAGGATTCAGTTACTAGACGACCAATAATGTAAACTCAACAACGGTGTATATTCCAAAAAGGTTTATTCTGGAATGGGGCGAGCGCTACAAGGCTCTAGGTGGATTCACCTCGCCAAAAAAACCCTAATAATAATATACACGTATGCATAGCACTTCAGGCGGAACGCAGTACCATCGTAGAACACGTCGTAAGCGTAGATCTTACACATATGTTGGGTCGATGGCGCTAGCGAGTCATTCCCCCAAGCGCGCACCGCTAGGGACTTTCGTTTGGCACCAGTTGCCACCGCAGATTATACAAAGAGCAGTTACGAATGCTCCTCAGGCATTTCAAGACAGTCTGTGGCAACAAGAGGAAGTATAAACGAATAGGAGTTAGCTAACACAGTTTAGATTTTGTACATTTTCCATCATTAAACCTTGAGTGTTGTTGAGTTTCAATCTCAGAGTTTTTACGCTTTCCTCATCGTCCACCAATCACGTAATGCAGGGTAAGCTGCAATAATCTATCTGAAGAAGTCAGAGAAGTATTAGTACCATGGCACTCCACCGAGTTTATCAAATCTATTAACCTTCCCCCCCCCCCCTATACAATCAAACTTATCCAACCTTTAATATTATGAAAAGTAGCTGAAATCATTAATATTTCAATATTTCAGTGTTTGAAATAGCAACACGAAACGGGAAAGCCTACCCAATCTGACCTAACTCACACTAACCTCGATTCTCGTATCATCTATCGGCAGATTTCATCCTATCACAGTTCAGTATATAGGCAGAAATGGAAATATTGCCAGCCTATGAACCTAGTAACCTAATTATTCCGGACAGACAACAACAGAGATAAGAAATAAAAGAAAGTGCCTGTTGGAACTCGCTATAAACCACCACGGTTGTGCCCCCGCGCATGATTCAAGCCATGGTATCTCTTTTAAGTAACAAACGAAAATATCTATATCTCAAAAGCGGATGATCTTTCAACCTGTATTTACTAAAGTTTTTTTACTAATTGTCAGTACAGAATGTCCTTATATACCATATAAATATTGAATGCTTTTTTTAAACACCATATATACATACGCATAGAAACAATCAATACGAATTCAAATGTTTCGCTATATTAGGAGTGGGAACTATTTAGTTAGGCATCAAACTCACAAGAGGGTACTGAAAACTACATTCGCAAAAAGCGACTTCCACTCTATTTGATGGAGTCAGATGAAGCAAGATGGAGTCGGATGAACGTTGACAAATGTTGACGAATACCGCAGGTACGGATAGTTTACAAGTTTACAGTTTACAGGTTTACAGTATAAACTTTATGCGAATGCTCGCCGCGCTGCTATCTTTAGCCATTGCTGAAATAGTCCACGTGCCTTTGACCACTTGTCCTGTTTGGATTTTTGTACAGTCCAATTCATCGATTTGAATTACAATCGCAAGCAATGTAAGTAACCGTACTTGACGTCACGCAACTAAAAAATCAAGTGCATATACGAACGTAGCAAGGGCGCACATTACGATACGCTAGAAAGTAACTTGCAACATTTTTTTTTTATTACACCCATCTCTTACAAAACCTAGAAAGATTTTGCTATTTTTACCGATATTTTCTATTATACAATTTACCGAATTAATTTTGTGATGATAATATTTAGATAATAATTTGTATTAAAAATTATTAAAAGATATCCTTTAATCCCTTTGGTAAAAATAGTGTTAAATCATCGTGCACTGTTCAAAACGTTTATCTGTCTATCGTCTATCTGTATAGACAATAGGGGTATCTGATCTTAATTTACAAATTAAATTAACAGGTTAATTACACACGACACATGTGTGTACAAAATGTTTCCCGCAAGATGACGTAATTCATTTTTCTGTGTAAGAAGATTTCTATATAGAACAATAATTTTAAATACACTAATCGATTCAGTTCGCTAATCTGAGCCAAAAAGTATTAGACCATACAAGACAAGAAATTATTAGTTTACGAGCTATTTAAGTGCGAACAATGCAACTTAACGCTTCAAAAGTTTTGCCAATTCGCAAGATGTACGTAGATATGTTGATACTAACTTGCAATATTTTCACACAAATATCTCGTAAACTAATAATTTTTTGTCATGTGTGGTCTAATATTGTACTTACTCGCCTTCTGACTGGTCATTGTTTTTCGTTAATAACTCGTTAATAAAGCCGCAAAAGACGTTTCCGTTAAAGAAAAGGTGTCTAACCTTGACATAACCTCAGGAATTACCTATTTCGCTTGATTCGAACATTTTTGATATACCCTCTAAACGTTATTTGATGCTTTGAAATGCGTACAGTGCACATTTCAGAAATTGCATTTTGACCAACTTTTAGGGAAATGTATCCTAGTACGATGTCTCCTTTTGGGTTTGCAAGGTGGCCTACACGTTTGTTGGTAAGCGCCCGTGCCACAGAAATCTGCAGGAGTGATTCCGAAATGCAGCTGCTCAACGAAGTTCCGCAGATGTCGAAAGAATTGCAACGGCGGTCAGAGAATCACTGGGCGACAGAGTTTTTCGCGCTCTTAGGTAAAAATATATTAAATGTAATGGCAAGTCGTAGCTTGTCGCTATAGTAAGAATATGTTTTTTCGAAATTCTCTGCTCAATATATATGGTGTCCTTGTTCTTTTTCTGCAAAAATTTTTCAGCATGTTCTGCAAATAAAAATAAGAAAAAAATATTATATGAACATTGCTTTTTAAATGCTCTATTAAAAGGTTATAGCGAGAATACAAAATGATAACGGACTGATATTTCGTGGATATATTTATCGTTTATAGTTTACACTGTATGATTTTATAATAATGCTGCGAGAAAGCCGTTCGTTATCATTTTGGATTTCGATCGTAACTTCTTACCAAAACATTTAAAAATCTATATTCTTATAACATTTTTTCGTATTTTTACTTGCAGAATATGCTGCTAAATACATTCAATCATGAAATTTATATTGCTGCTGACATTGTCACGTTTTGCCAATACAAAACAATTTACAACAACTACTTAAAAATGTCCTTTTTACTGTAAAATATACAGGATAAATAAAATAACTTGATCACTTTGAATATTTCACATGTTTTAAATAATATGAAAAAATATCAAAGTAAAATATTTTCTTGCTGGAAGGGGCAAATATTATAATTAATAGAAAATTTGTCTAATCGTTATATT